AGCCCTGTTTCTATTGGACATTTCTGTTTCACAGTCTAGCGTTAAGCCTCTGAAAAGTTAGAAACCTTTCTGAAATTGCTTTGCTTGAACTGCAACTGGAACACTTTGATTTATTTTTCTTAATTTCTTTGGTTCACTGATTTGATTCTTTGAAATCCTCTTGAACTCGGTGGTTCCTTAAAAAAAGAAAGTATTGCCTAGTTTTTGAGCTTCAAGTACCACCTCTTCAAAACTTTAGAAGTTTTCAAGTTCATTAGCTTTAGTTCATTTAGAAGTTGGCCAAGAGTTTTCGTTGATTCGACGTAACCAAGAAAAGCAGAATCAAAGCAGAATCAAGGCAGAATCAAAGCAGAATCAAGGTAGAATCAAGGTAGAATCAAAGCAGAATCAAGGTAGAATCAAAGCAGAATCAAGGTAGAATCAAAGCAGAATCAAGGTAGAATCAAAGCAGAATCAAGGTAGAATCAAAGCAGAATCAAAGCAGAATCAAGGCAGAATCAAGGCAGAATCAAAGCAGAATCACTAGTTTAAAGGAATTCCAGTTCCAGAAGAATCGGTTCTTACCCGGTATCGCAAATCTTTAGACTTATTACGATGAATAGTCAATTCTTCAAATCTACAGGGTGGGCCAAAATTACCAAAATTACCAAAAACAACTCAAAATGTTAAAGATTTTTCTTAAAAATAACTTTTATTGTCTCATAACAATTCATAAAGACTATTTCTTTTCAAACAAATCTCCATTAGCTTTTACAAAGGCGTCCAAACGTCATGAAAAAGCGTGGCGAGGAGGTATGCAGGATCCAGCTCTTCCAAAGCCTTTTCGAGCGCTTTTTTCAAACTATCAACAGTTTTGTGTGGTTTTGAACATGCTTTGGCTTCAAGGACACTTCAGACAGAAAAATCCATCGGATTAAGAGCCCAACTACTTGGCGGCCACTCATTGAATGAGATAAAATCTGGAAAGTTTTGGCGGTAAAAGTCTTGCACTTTTTTGGCCCTGTGTGCCGGCGCATCGTCCTATTGAAATGTCCACATCGGGTTTCCAAAATGCTGATTTGCTCAAGAAAGAACATCTGCTTTTAGAACATCCGGATAATTGTCAACATTAACCTTGACACACTGTGGAACAAAGACCAGCGGGGTCTTTCCCGTGGCAGTGATGCCCCCAAAGAAGATGACTGATGCAGGATGTGAGCTTCTTGAGATCGTGGCATTTGATTGAGATTTTGCATAAGTGTGATCATTTTGTTTGTTCAAAACCGTTTCAACGGTGAGTACCTTTTCATCTGTAAAAACAATGTTTCGGTGTATGTTTCGATTGAATCGAAGCAGCAATCCCTCTAAACGACTTTTCCTTTTGTTTTTTTTGCGACAGCTGATAGCATTTGTGATTTATTTTCCTTGTAGGCCTTTAACTTGAGCTTGTTTCCGATGATTCTTCTAAGGGACATTCGCTTAATCCCCATTTTTTGTGACATTTTCCGCACCGATTCGGTTGGCGTTTTCAACAGGCGATCCCTCACTTTTTTTGACACTTGCTGAAGTTGTTTGCTTTCTTCCACGATCTGATCGATAACTGGCCGATCAGAATCCGTTCCCAAGGTATTGAAGCGTTCGATTGCTCGATGCACAAGCACTCGATTCACTTTTAGACGTTTTGCAATCTCACTCGCTGAAAGTCCATGTTTGTGCAGCGAGATCGATCCTCGATGCGATGATCGATCCTCAATGCGATGATCGATCCTCGATGCGATGATGCTCGAATCATTCTAAAAATAAACATTCTTATGAAATGTTTGTCTTGTATTAATGTTGATCAACAAATAATATTAACAGAAAAATCAGAAAACAACACAAGTTTAAAGAGATGCGCATTTGCGCGTGACTGAGCATTGTAACGGTAATTTTGGCTCACCCTATAGTTCAATCAAGAAAATCTCTTCTCTAGACACAAGTATTGAACTTCAGAGTTTCCTTAAACCCAAGTTAATAAACAAGAGGCAAAAGGAAATACAAAAGGAATACAAACGAAATACAAAAAGGGAATTATCTCAACGTTAAAAGTTAGTTAACAAAGATTCGGTGGTTTCTAGAAAACGATTGAACTTTGACGAAAAAAAATGAATGATAAAAACGGAAATTAAAGCAAGTTCAACCAAAGCTGCAACCAAATTGGCTTTTCTCTATCAGCTTCAACCAAATTGTCTTTTCTCTATCTATTCTGTGTCCATTCAAATCCAATTTTTTTATTTGAGTGAAATCAAATCCGTGCGTGAAAATCGGAAACGCGTTTCCTCTCAGTCTCGCGCAAAATCTTGCTCTTTCCCTTTTCAATTCAGAACAGACACATTCATTTTTCTAGAAGAAACCTTTTCAAATCTCAGAATATCACATTCATCGTCTTCTTTTCATGAAAAGATTCATTTTTAGAGAATCCTTTTAGAGAATCCTTTTAGAGAATCCTTCAAAATAGTCTTTCCCAGTTAATGGATAAGTCCATGACGTCTCAAAATGTTACGAAAGGAAAAGAAAAATAAAAATTGAATGAATGAAATGACAATTTTTGTAATTTCCTTTTGAATTTCCTTTTTGTAGTTTCCTTTTTGGAATTTCCTTTTGTTGTAATTGTTTGTACGTATAATCTTAACAACAAGGACCAGAAAAATCACAATTTCTTCAGCAATCCGCCGAACTACAACAACAAATCTAAGTGCGCTAACAAAAACAAGTTGCTTCCACAATCACTAAAACCAGAAAGAGAATCTAGATTTGGTCTACAAGACTTTACTGAGCTAGACTTTACTGAGCTAGACTTTACTGAGCTAGACTTTACTGAGCTAGACTTTACTGAGCTAGACTTTACTGAGCTAGGCTTTTATGAGCTAGGCTTTTATGAGCTAGACTTTACTCAGCTAGACTTTACTGAGCTAGACTTTTATGAGCAATTTGATACTCTTAAGGAATATTTACCGAGATATAAACTCGAGATATAAACTCCCTTCACAAGCAAACGTTCATTCGCAATCACCTATTGAATTTTCCTCGTTTTTCCCTTACTTCTTACAATACTCTCATTTTTTTCAGATACTTCGTTAGCTGATGGTAACAAATGAAAAGTAATAAAGATATTTCTACTTGTTGCTTTTATGTTTTCCCCCTAACGTACGTAAAAAGGGCCCTCATGGTGTATTGGTTAAGTTCTCACTTCCAGGGGTGTGGGGTTGGGCCCCTAGGGTTCTCTCCCTAGCCCGCGCGCCCCATAGAGGCCCTTCTCAGGGCTGGCGGCCCTTCTCTGGAGGGCCTCCCCCCGGTGGCCCATTCATGGCCTGGGGTTATTAAAGCAAGAGCCCTTTCTTCTCTCTCTCTTCTTTTCTCCCCGCCTCCAACCGGGGTAAAATTCTCTCTTTCTCTATGTTTTTATGGGGGGTTGGGGTTTTTGACTGTTACGCTTTTTTGTCCTGAATAAAGTATCAATATAAAATCTAAATTTCGCTGAATGAAAAAGCAATTCAATGTTCGCGTTTTTCGCGTGGGATAAAGAAACTTATGCAAAACGTTTACGCAAAAAAATTACAAACAAAAAAAATAAATGATTACTTTTGGATGTGAACTTCAACTTGAACATTGCCAGGAAAATTACAATCAGTTTTCCTCATCATTCTGCTAATCACGAGCTGTTGTTGGTTCTAGTTCGAGGAGATGACTGCTGAGACACATTGCTTGACTGCTAGTTCGGATTCTGTACTTGAGAGTATGTAGATAAGACTTTGATCGACTCGTCATTTTCTCAATTAGTCTACAGAACAAATTCAACAGAAGAAACCAGAATAGAGCAACAGAGCAACAGAACAGCAGAACAACAGAACAACAGAATGACAGAACAACAGAACAACAGAGCAACAGAACAGCAGAACAACAGAACAACAGAATAACAGAATAACAGAACAACAGAACAACAGAACAGCAGAGCAACAGAACAGCAGAACAACAGAACAACAGAACAACAGAACAACAGAGCAACAGAACAGCAGAACAGCAGAGCAACAGAACAGCAGAACAACAGAACAACAGAACAGCAGAGCAACAGAACAGCAGAACAGCAGAGCAACAGAACAGCAGAACAACAGAACAACAGAATAACAGAACAGCAGAACAACAGAACAACAGAATAACAGAACAACAGAACAACAGAACAGCAGAGCAACAGAACAGCAGAACAGCAGAGCAACAGAACAGCAGAACAACAGAACAACAGAATAACAGAACAACAGAACAACAGAACAGCAGAGCAACAGAACAGCAGAACAACAGAACAACAGAACAACAGAACAACAGAACAGCAGAGCAACAGAACAGCAGAACAACAGAACAACAGAATAACAGAACAACAGAACAACAGAACAGCAGAGCAACAGAACAGCAGAACAACAGAACAACAGAATAACAGAACAACAGAATAACAGAACAACAGAACAGCAGAATAAACCAGAACTTCGAATAATAAACCAGAATAAACCAGAATTTTATAATCGACGCCGGTCTTCTATTCGAGTAAATACGGTAAATGTTTTTAAGGAAGCTTATTAGCAGCAAGTTGATAATCAAAATATGAGTTCATTTTTCATTACTGAATTTACCAAATATGTAACTCATATGGGAAATTCAATTCCTAGAAAAGTGCCCAAAACTTTCTTGCTTTCACTAAAGTATAGGAAGAATTTGATCAAAATTCTGCTGGACAGACTGTCGGAACAGAAATTCAATCAGCGATTCAATTCAGCAATTCAGCAATTTTAAAGCAATCCAATCACCTCCACACGAATTAAAAAGCATGAAAAATGTCGTAAATTTCATTTGCCGATCTAATTGAATGAAAAAAGGGGAAGTCGAAAGAAAAGCGGCATTTTCTGTGAGTAAAAGGAGCATTTTTCTGAAGCGATCACTTTCCACATTTGCATTTTTTTCACTAAAGCAATCCAGTGAACTTACATTCGTCAATGTACTCTCTGCAAGACATCTTCATTTTACTCATCGAAATTCTCTGTGTTATTCTCTATCTCTTTATCATGTATGTAATCGATTTCTCAAAGAGCTCATCGATGAAATCACAATTCATCGGTCAGTCGTGGATTCTGTGTAAGTGGAAATGAATGATTCAATCATTCAATCATTCAATCATTAAATCATTAAATCATTCTAATACTTCGTTTAAAGGTTGCTTTGACTTGGGTTGGCTGTTTTTTTCGATCGTACTTCGTATTCTCCGTGAAATGGGGATTTCTGTTGGATGGGCCTACTCGATTTTCATCATCACAAAGATTTCCCTAGGCGCTCATCAACTAACAATGATTTGGATCAATTGGTCACGCTTTCAAATCCTCAACAATGCGATGCGGAAAAGCGAAGTTAGTGGAGATAGACAGTGGAGATAGACAGTTATAATTTCTTTTCTCTGCATACAACAAAAGTTTAGGTCTCGAACTCGTTGACGAGCTCACAAAGACACAAAGCAGTGTTGCTCTTTTTCACGCCTTCTTTTTTCTGGTCTTTGTTTCGAGTCGTGATTGTGTTCATCGATGGATGGCCTGATTTGAATTACACGTGGCCAGACAAGACGTTGATGTTTGTGGGATTTGCGGAAATTTAGACAAAAATCTAGAATAGTAATAGAAGGATGATTAAGCTTGCTTTCTGTATATTCTATTGAAAAGAGAATTTTAGTAAAGTTAGCTGTTTAGTAGATGAGTTTTACTATCAGAAAATCGAAAATTCATTTTTGCATTTGCAAAAAAGATTGCATTCTAAATCTAATCCACTTTAAGCTTCAATTGCAGCTTGTTGAAGCTTTCATTTGTTCAAATGGCTTTAGAAACGACTTTGGAGATTTATTTATTAGGTACATGCATAACAAATGCGGATTTCAACATTTTCATAAATTTCCAACGATAGAAACCTGATATTGATGAATGTTATAATATATATATTGTTAACTATTTGAAAGTTGTAAATCTCCTCTACAAAATAGGCTAAAACGTGTTTCAATTGATCGAAGCATTGAAGAAATTTCGAGGCCGAAATGCGAGTGACCAAAAAAAGGAATCGAGTCACTTTAGGCACAAGTTTAGTTTAGTTTAGGGCACTTTTTGAAAATCCCACTTTCACAAGAGTTCGGTTTTGACTATATAGTGGAAAATAATACCGTTAGCATCGCTCGTTTCTGATAAATGAGAGCTGATACCCATCGGCAGCTTCTTTTGCACCACCCTAATACTATCAAGTCTTAACTCGAATAGTTGTTGTTTATCTTTTTAGTCAACATCATAGTCAAGTTCAACTTTTATAGTATGTCCGATCAGTGGCTACTGTTGAGTTAGCCCTTCCAACAGGAATCTGCTTCCTCTTGAATCTGATCGCCTACTGGCGCTTGCTTAACAACTCGACCGTTCAAGCGAATCCACAAATGAAACGAAAAAATCAAAAGATGTTGCTCTATGCGGTGGTTAGTTTTTTTTAGATTCAATTGAATTATTATTTTTTTTCAACAAAGCCAACTAGAACACAAATAATCTTCTTCAGTTAATTGTGCTCTTCACGGTTCCGGCAATCTTTTATCAAGTAATCAAATCTTATGCAACTACTCTAAATTATGTGTCACTTTCAACGGCTCTCACTGCCTATGTGAGTTCTTTTCTCCGTAAATATTAGAATAAAAAAAGATATAAAATCTTTTTCTTATAGCAAGATCTTTTCTACTTGCCGTTACCTTTTGCAAATCCATTTCTGTTGCTTGCATTGTGCGACGATTTGAGAGAAGAAGTCAACAGAGTTACTAGGTTTTATTTTTACACAAACAATTTTACAATCTCCTTAGAAAACACCTTTATCTATCATCAACTACACCAAGGATCGATCAAAAAGATCAATCAACAGTTATCGTTGTTAGCTCTGGTTCAACTCACCAGTAAATGAGCTCAAGAGCTGAGCTCACCAATGAAATGAGCTCAAGAAAAATGACTGAGCATTTAAATATTATATTTTAACTTTTGCATCTTTCATTGCATCTTGTATAAAGTTGAAAACCAAGAGTTTTGATCTTTGATCTATACAAATTCAAAAGTTAACCTGAAAACACTACTCTTTCATTAAAATACTTTCAAATAAAGGTATGTTTATCGATCTTTTTTTGATTTTTTAAGCGAAATTCTCTAATCTCTTTATTCGAAATTTTTGCTATAGCTTTGTCGCAAAAAATGCCTTTGCTTTCGGAGATTTTTTGATATTTGCCGAAGAAAATTAGACACCAAAGTGTTTTTTTCCTTTCTTGTGGATCTTGTTCTTATAAATGTTCACTAAATAGTTATTAAATAGTTACTAAATATTAGGTTGTCCAATAAGTAATGCGTGTTTTGACACGATTTTCAAAATATCACAAAATTAACAAAAGAGAACTTTATTAATCGATATATTCTCCACAACAATCAACAACATTTCTCCATCGTCCGAGCAAAGAGTGAAGTCCGTCATAATAGAATGAAGCTGGTTTCGATGAGTAACATCGAAATAAGTAACACGCATTACTTATGGGACAACCTAATAGTTACTAAATAGTTATTAAATAGCCACTAAATAGTCATAATAGCCACTAAATAGTCACTAAATAGTCCACCTAAATTGCTTCGTGGTTTTTTTTTGGAAAAGCTGGTAAAAATTCGAAAAAACACGTTGAACTGGGTGGTAAAATTAAAAAAAAAAGATCGAAAAAGCATAATAAATTCAAATAAAGGTATAAACATACCTTTATTTGAAAGTATTTTAATGAAAGAGTAGTGTTTTCAGGTTAACTTTTGAATTTGTATAGATCATGAATTTGTATAGATTTCCGATTTTTATCGATCAGAGATCTTTTTGAGTTAATTTTGGTATCATTTGACGCGCTATTTTATTCTGTATCGAATGATAAAATCAAAATAACTACTAAATAGTCAAAATTGAAGGGTTGGTGCTGAGAAAAATCGGAAAAAATCGGAAAAACCCTTTAAATTGTAAACAGTAAAAAGGATCGACAAGTATTTTCGTTACAAGTTTAATAAATAAATGCTGAATGTTGATTTATATTCGATTCATTTTATTTACAACGCTTTTCACAGTGCTTTATTAGATAAATAAATAGTTTTTTTTAGTTGCAGTCGAAAAGTTTACTTGGAAATTGAAAAATCACAGACACAATAAGCAAACGCTTTCTTAGAAAAGAAAAGAAGAAAAGCTTTCTTAGAATAAGTAAAGTTTGAAGTGATTTAAAGCTAAAAGCTGAAAAAAAGAAAAAATTTAAAGATTTTAAAGATGAATATCTTCAGCTGGTTTACCTTCGAATTGATGTTCCTAAAACTCAAGATTTTATATACCGTATTTTCTCTAATAGTAGCCGAGTTGGTGACTATTTTACGGTTTCCAAGTCTTTGCAGAAGCTCAACACCCAAATCCCCCACAAGATCTCATCGTCAGCTACATTTTCCGACCCCACATCGATAGGTTCTGATAAGCGCTTTTTGAGATTTCGAACAATTTAGGCAAAGCTTAGGGTGCACTACTATTAGAGAGAAGACGGTATATTATTCCAGGTTAGGCTCAGCTAGTAGATCAGACTGATCTATTTCCCTAACATTTCCCGCCGAGCCGAGTTGATCACTATTTTACAGTTTTCAAGTTTTCCCAGAATTCCAACACTCAAATCCCCCACATGATCTCATCGTTAGCTACATTTTCCGATCCCACATCGATAGGTTCTGATAAGCGGTTCTCGAGATTTCGAGGAATTTAGGGGAAGCTTTGGGTGCATGACTATACGACTGATTTCTCGATAAACTTTGCTCATTAGGTATGAGGCCAAAACCACCTTAACCAATGACTCACACTACGCTTCCCCCTTCTCTATTTCTTTCAATGAACAGATCAAGAGAAACTATTAGAGAAAATACGGTATATATGCAATTCAAAATTGCAAATTACTGAGAGTTTAAAAAATTCAATTCATAAAGATTTTTTTTAAGCGAAAGTTTCTTGAATTCACTCACATTGGCGTTTCCGTTACTCCTTTTCCATTCAGCTTTACGCGCTTTACGTTGACTCTGTAATTTGTGAGAATGCTAATTGTTTAGCCTCAATTGTTTAACATTTCATTGTGCTTTTGGATTGAATTTTTAAACATTACATGATAAAGCCGCTTGTGCACTTGTTCAACGATGGCCGGGTCGACGCTCGACACACGAAGGAGGACACGCAGAAATGCTCTGAAACGAGCAATGATCTTTTTAGCTTTAAAATGAATATAACGAACCCAGATTTGACTCCATGAATACAGCAAAGTGTCAACGAAATGATGATGAGAATGATCAGTCCAATAGCTCCAATGAAAATCCAAAAAAACTGTCTCTTTTTCTTCTCAACTTCACTTGTCGTTGTCATCATCGTCGTTTTTTCATCATCTGGTGATACTATCACTTATTATCTTTCAAAAATTCGATTTTATTTACTATATCTAGCCTTTTATTAGTTACATTTTACTTTAAAACAAAAAAAAACTCAATTTCGGTGAGTTTTTTTGTTTAGTTTAAAGTATTGGGTTGATGGAAAAATCCTCCCCGATTTTTTGGGAGACTATCTTAAATTTGTCGAATTTTGACGTTTTATAGCTCATCCTAAAGCTGAATTCAAGACGGATCGATTGGTAAAAACCGTTTTGAGGTATCTCTTTTCTAAAAGTTTTTACAGCGATTTTAGTAAAGGGCGGCAGAGCCAAAAAATGGCTGTTTTCACGTTTCGTTAGTTTTCCGTGCATAAACCTAGGCTAAAAACATGTGTTTCGTGATCAGCGTCAAAAATAACCCCTAGACACGCATTTTCAGAATCTTAGGACAAATTTAAGGTACTCTCCCAAAAAATCGGAAAGGACTTTTCCATCAACCCAATAGAAGGGTTTTTTTTGGTTAGATTCTGAAAAAAAAGAACGTTTTTCTTTTGAAAATAATTTTAACTAGAAATCCGAAGAAAGAGAAAGCTGAGAGAAAACAATTGGCTTTAATTTAGCTGAATAAACAATAAATCCATCATATTGAAACAAACCACTCATTTCAACAGTCACAAAAACAAAAGCTCCATCATGAATTGAAGAGTTTGTCGAAAGCCAATCGATCTAAATGACTCAAATAACGATTCTAAATCAATTCTTACAATAATATTTGTGATGTTTTCATATTGAAACGCTTTTGGCCATTCGTAGTAATCAGAAAAAAGTACTCTAAAAAGTATTCGAAAAATTTTTTGCTTATCAATTTAACAATGTGAATACGTTTCCTTTCCCGTTTCCTCTTTATGTTCAGATTTTGTTTCAATCGATAGAATTCCATCATAAAGATTCATTACTTTCACTAGTACATCAATTGGAGAATTGTCTAAAGTTTAAAATATTTTTATTAATGTGAAATTACCGTAAATACTGTAATAGTACCCCGTACAATCGTACAGTCGCGTAGTCGCAAAAGTTTTATTAATATTTCATTTTTTCAAAGCGCCCGTACTTTCAAAAAATGCGTCTTTGGTATCAAAAAATAGCTGAAATTCAGGGCTATTTTTTGATACCCAAGCGAG